AAGATTTATGAAAACATATTTATATTTTAGCACTCCTGTAGGCTACCTAATTCCTATCCCATATAAATGCTGCTGTAAGGGTTTAATGTTTCCTTGTGAGAAGAATAAGAGTATTAATTCTGTTAGATCTGCTGGTGCAAACACTATTGGTGACGTCAGACCTCCACCTGCTGGCATACGTCTCTTTCCTTCTCTGATTCGGCTAAACTTCTACTCCTCCTTGTCTGTGTTTTTGTTCGCCTCCCCAACAGTCCAGCTGACAGTTACAAGAAAACTACAATATGGGCTTCCAGCTAAACAACCTGCTGCAAACATTGGAGTTTAAATAACCATTGTTATCCAAAACAAGAGATTTTATAATCAAGATTAATTAACAGAGGGCAACATTTTTCTTATCACTTATTCTTCTTATCACTTCTGTTTTACCTTGTGAAAAGTTTTAAAAACATACCAGATATTGCTCTTAATCAGTTTTAAACCAAATATTACCTCATAAAAAAAGTTAACTAAGCTGATGTGCCAAATAAGTTTGGCCCATGAGTTAAGAGTAGAAGATAAACCACCAGAAGATTGAAGATTGGGCCGATTATGATAAAGATTGTTGCAGTAAAAACGAAAAGTTGAAATTTCTTTATCTTGTGCTTCATCTTGTGGAAACAACTGAGAAGAGAAGTGAGATCAATAAAGATATTTTTAATTCCCTAGATGTAGTGGCGGCTTAAATCACAGTACTAACTGTAATAACTGGAGTTAATATTGCCTATTTAACTTTGCAATTAACTACATACACATATGAGTTTAGGACCAGTTTAACTGATAGATTGCAAACTGTTTTTTTGTGGGTGTGTTGAAAATATTCTCCTATTAAAAAACTTACAAAAACATTCCACTGTGGGGGGTTATTGCCGGTGGTGATAACTAAACATTAATTATACTAAACATTAGCATTAAATATTTTCTATAGGCTCTATGCACAAATCCACTACTTCCTGAACTTAGGGCAGGTCTTTTGTTTCCTGTCTTTTATTACTTGATGAACTGATATCCAGGTGTGTCTGACCTCAGTAACCATGGCCAGTCATAGGAAGGGCTATCGATGCTGACCTATGAACTGGAGGCATCAGTGAAAATATTTTAGATATTGTCATTTTGAAATCTCTATAAATGTAAGTGTGCTTTAATAAAGAAAAGAAACAGAATTAATTAAAATTTCAAACTTGATCCACTGGGGAGTTGTGTTTTTAGAAGAAAGGGAGACCCCTGCTTTAAACATTGATTTCTCTTATATGCCAGCTTAGGTCACATTATGAGACTTGATTAAATCTGACTATGTGGTTTATTGAAATAAATGTGGATCAATTTTGTTTCATATAATGTATATCAGCTAAAACAATATCCTGATCTGCTAAGTTTCTCACCTGATCTTTAAGAAACCCTTAATTTGAATTATTTTGAGCACCAGCTAAAAGATTAGAATTGTGGACATAACTTTGTATTAAGGCAAGTCTCACTCATCTTCAATTCACTAAAGCAGAAAAGTTATCTAAATATTTTAAGAAAAGTTAACAGCATTAAATGTAATAAGCAAAGAGAATCAGCTCTGTGAATTATACCTCATTTAATCAATTTAGAGAAAGCACGCAAAGTAGAAAAGAATATCAAATTAAGGCGTTAAGGTCAATTATTTAGTGTCAAAAGTCATTAAAATGCTCCTTTTTATTATATTAATCAAAACAAATATATATATATATAAATACCAGTATATTTTACAGTCCTTTTGAAGAAAATAATTTACATGAAAGGAAAGAGCTATGAAGCGGTAGAATCCATGCAGTGAGAGTGGTCAATGCTCTCACCGCGGGCTGGTAGGAAGGTCTTACCAGTTTTTGTCAAAAATGACAAACTGTATGATCTCTAGGAAACCACTATTTTGGCAGTATAGAAAACAAGCTTGAAAGAAAATCTGTGTTTCAGTGTCTCTCAAGCAGAAGAGCTGGAGCATCAGTGGCCCTGATCGGCGACCTCACTGTTGGAGATCCAGTCCATAAGGATCAGAGTGATGCAGCCAAACATGACAAAGAATCCTAATATCAGGAACAATGTAGCCTGGAAAAGGAAGTAATGTCACTGTGAATTATGTATAGCTTATTTCTGAAAATAGATATGAAGAATGGGTAAAGAAAATGTTTGCTAATTTATTAATTACCCCAATCTTTTGCACTGACATCATTGACTCCTTCTTGACAAGTTTGATATAGAAAGCTGAGGGTAGGATGAAAATGAGCATTGGAGCAGCAGAGGCACCTGAAAACAGGACAAATGGTAAAGTTAAACATATGTGGTCAATAATGCTTCGCTATCAAGACACTAAATCTTATAGATATATGCAGGTACTAACCGATGAAGCCAAAGATATCTCTGATGCTGGGGACAAAGATGACCAGAGTGTTGGTTCCTGCAAGCAGGATTACAGTGATAATAATGTGTCGGATCCAGCTGAAGTCCTTGGTTGAGAACAGCAGGTGGCTGATGGAGGTACGAATCTGTTCAGAAACAAACCAAGATTAGTTCACTGGACTTCATGGTCTTGGTTCACTATAACTGATAGTAAAGCTCAGACACTTACAGGGAAGAGCACCACAGGGACTGTGAGTGTGACAGCAGCCAGTACAGCCAGACGAACCACCAACAGGAGGACATCATGCTTGAAGTACTTGAAGTAGGTGTGGAGCAGTTCAGGTTTCACATGGACTGTACAGATTTAATACCGTAAATGCTTTATTAGACAGACTGAAGCATGATTCACTTGATATGTTATCAAAGAGAATAATTAGATGGGATTGAAGAATTTAGATGTATGAATTCTATTGTGTGATGTTCTGCTTCGACCGTGACAATAGGTAACCAAGCCTGACTCTACAAGCTGGTTCTTTTTGATCTGCATGATAAAGTTACCTCATCAGTAGGGGTGAGCAGTTAATGGAAAATCTATATGTGATGAGAACATCGTGTATATATATATATGAAGAAATGTTTGCTGTGGTCATAAATAGGGCTGCAACAACGAATCGATAAAATCGATAAAAATCGACTTTTAAAAGTGTTGGCAACGAATTTAATCATCGATTAGTTGTGTCGCGCGATTAATGCGCCGCCGCCGTCATCCGAGGGAAGAAAAAAAAATATGGCGGAGCGAGTCAGAGCCGCAGTTGCAG